AAGCGGAAGTAAGAAACACTGGCTATTGGGAGAAAGCGAATTTTTGTCCAAAAGAATGTTTGGAATTATTACAAAAACGTCTCGAAAATGCGCTTCTCCCGTTTCTTTTTTGATCAAACAATCAAACACCCACTGAAAACGATGCAGAGAGAAGTGTGGAATTTCGAATGGATGAAATGAAGCATACACACAAATTTTTTTTTAAACAGATAAGCTCTTTCCACTGATCTCTCTAGAACATTTCCAAACCAGTTTCCGAGCTGTCATCTCAAGGCACGCCATAAAAAATTTAGGCTATATGGGCGTGTGGGAGCATTCTAGTAACATCACTAACATGGGAATCCTACACTGATAGTCCAAACGATGCAAACATTTATTCTTGGTATGTATATATGCCAGAAAATAAAATCCGGCGGGCGGGGGATTTTGCCCATCTTGCCGACAACCACTGAACGATGCACATCACTGAGTGCTATCCCTGAGAAAGTAAACGACCATTCGGGTTACAAGAAAAAATCTTAATTACTGTATGTCTTTGTTACATCAAGGGAAATTCTAATATAAAATAACAAATCATATTTAATAAAAACATACAAATTATAGTTAAGAAAATATAACTTTGTAAAAAAGCAAAAAATAATTCCATAGGTAAAATAAACATCAAAAAAAAAGATCTCGATAAATCATTATTTATCAAAGACATTGAGAAAATGTCCTATCAAAAAAACAATACTAATACGTAAAATTAAAACAATAGCTCGCGTCAAAAATCTCAGCCAAAGAGAAAAAAATATAATTAAACTAAATAATCAATTCCAAAATTTTAATATATGGTGTTTTTCCTCAAAAAATAACATAAGATTAAATATAACTAATTTTAAAAATACGAATCCTTAACAAAGAAATATTAGTTAAAGAAAAAATAAAAAACACGAGGTGGGTGCCAATGGGAGGTATGCATCACGGGACTGAAGGACCTGGCATAGTTGTACTCGGCGTATAGGAGCATCCTAGTAACATAACTAACAAGTGGATATCCAAATTCATAGTCCGCGAATGGCTTTTAAATATTCTTGGTATTTAAAAGAGAAAATAAAGTAAACAAATTTACATCCGATTTACATCTCTTTCATCTATTTAATTCTTACACCTCACTAAATTATACTGTTACCACAGCCGTCGTACTGACGAGGTCCAACTGTGGTAACGGTAAGAAATGTATACGAGTTAATGGACCGAAACATTTCTTACGAACTTTAATAATTCTTTACAACCCTTTCATCTTTTGTTCATATTTTCTCCAAAACTTTAAATTATTAAATGAAATAAAAAAAAAACTGTGTGTTAAAAATAAATGAAAAACTTTCACTGGGCCTTATTCGTCTGGAAGTGTATTTGATTTGAATGTGTAAAGACTGAAATGTCTTCAAAGAAAAATTTCAAAAATACGGATCCTCTCATTGATAGATGCACAGGCAGGCACCGAAATAGGCCTTGCAAAATTCCACAGCCGAACCCGCTCGTGCCATCACAACAGAAGCCCCAGCAGTACAGCGTTCAAGGACCACTCGAACAAACTGGCAGCGCGTCCAGCCAATTGATTAGCAATGGTCACAACCAGGCCACGCCCCCCTGCTGCCACTACCGAACCGACCGCGTCGCGATACGCTACGTGCGATGTGTTACGGTGGTGCAATGGTCGCTTCAGGCACAGCGCCAAAATGCCATTTTCGAAGAGATGCTAAAATTCGACCTCGTTGGGCTACTCGCTAGTCCATGGGTTTGGGGGTGAGTTGCGAAACCCGCGAAAGTGTAAAAATGCGAGGTTCTGTGGACGGATGAGATTTTAGGTGTCGCGTGGGGGCTTTTTTTCTTAGCATCCCGAAAACATACAATCCCTTATTATGCGTTCTGTGCTGTGTAACAGCACTGCAAAACGCTTATTGTCACCGGGTTGTCTGTGTGTGTGTTTTCGTGTGTGTCCCACATTTTGTCCCGCACTTTTAACTCGAGAATTACAAAAAGCTAGGCGGCTGAAATTTTAGTATAGTGTTCCCCGCCAGCGGGTGGCGCTGCAAATTTAAATTCAGCCTTACCGTACCCGTGGGAACACGTATGGCCCCGTGAAAGTTTTTTACGGGTAAATTAATATCTCGGGAACCACGGAGTCTAGGATGCTGAAATTTTGGGGTAATGACCCCCCTGCCCACGCTCAACCTTGCCCATTCAAATTCAGCGTTCCCACGCTCTCGGGTATCACCTACGGGCTAGTGAAAGTTTTTACGGGTAAACTATTAACTAGGGAATCACGGAAAGATATTCACCCTTTAAGGTCTCGAATTCAGCTTTCATGCGCTGGTGCATGAAATTTTTTATTATTTTCCAATGTTTGAACTATTTTTGCATAGACTAACCAAATCATTAATAGGCAATCGTTCAATGGACTCAACTGCACAAAATGCATGATCGCACTGGCTAGTCCGGTGCGCGTTGCTATTTATTATTATTGCAAGTCTCTAGTTGTTCCTGGTTCCTATCTCCAACCAAGGTCTCAGCTCTTTTCCACGTTCCCTCTCCTCCGTCACGATCCCCCGACATCTAAATCATCAGCTCCTGCGTCTCACCCTCTTTCTCGCCTCTCCCCTCCCGCTCCCCCCACTCGCCACCAACCTCACTTCGCCGTGTGAGAGCTCATCACAGCTTTCGCAATCTGTCCCACAACCCAGCCGAACCAGGTTTGGCAGTTACTGAAACTCGGCTCGGCTGCCTTCGTGAGATGCCCTGGCTCCTCTGCTAACGCTATTTTGCGGTGTCGCTTGCCAGGGCTGCTTGACACTTGTACGTAACCTGGCTAATCTACATGGGTCTGTTCCTACACAGCCATTAATTCCAACCATGCCAATCAATCTTCCTTCATCTGAAATCCCTGCACTTGCCGTGGGTATCCTCACCCGCTATAGCCGGGAAAAGTTTTTCGTAAGTCGTGTATGACGCTGGCCGAGCCGAGTTTTAGTAGTTGTCTCAAGTTTTTTCTAAAAATTGCAATATCGAAGCATAGGGTCACGGGGGTGTGCACGTGGGGTGTGTTTGGATGGGGGGAGGGGGTCGTTGTGCTGTAAAGGCCGGCCAAAGTGTAGGAGTTTACCATGTGTCGCGCGCTCGTGTGGTACTTACGGGCAACTCGTTGAGCCAGTTTGCGTGGCGGGTGCTTTTCGCGCACACTTCGTTTGCACTAATCGCAATTCCCGCGCGGTGTCGTAAGGCATACATTTTGTGTTGTGAAAGTCTGTCCTTTTGAGTGATGCCTATAAATAGCTTCGACTAGCACTCCCTTCGTTACGTGGCTGACAGCTTTTCCAGTTGCTTTGACCGATGCTGCTTTGCCTCCTTACATGAATACCACGCATACCTAGGGGCTGAATTTGAAATCTTTAGCTAACACATGCACAAAGAATATCAGTACAAAGTTTTCCCCCTATTACCGTAGGAAGAGCGTCTCGCTGGTCATCTTCGCGTTTTTTCCGTCTCAGAAAGGGATTGCCCGCTTTGGCGAATTTTTCAACAGAAGCGCTTTTTTGGACTTAGCTATTTCAAGATTTCCTCGTTGAAAACCAGCAGCTCGTCCCGAATATTGTTGCCTGTAATGCGCGATGAGTTATCCTACCGGATTGGAGTGTGGAATTTGGAAGATATTGAGCCATAGGCGAATCCGGGTAGAAGGCGAAAGTCTCTCCCCTTTCCCCTAGCCACACAGACACCAGTGCTGCAAAAGCGCGGATCTAAAGCTAAAACTAAAGTAAACTACAACTTTGTTCCTAATTTTTACATAGTTCCAGGGTGGGAGGGAGGCTCTCTCCCCTCTCTCCCCCATAAGTCCGTCCTTGATCCACTTATGTGTAGAGCTGAAGGTGAAACTGCTGCTCAGGGGGGGACAAAATCGAGCTATACAGGCTTCGGTTTCCGGAGCTCTGGTTTCCCACTTCAGGAATTTTCGTCTTTGAATTGGCAACTGTTATCGCCTGTTCTCCGTGATAGCTCGAGCAGGATGCCGATGCCCGTTTTGGGCAGGGGACCGCGGACTTAGGAATTTATCCTCTTATCAGGTATTTATCACATCCGCTCGTCGTCTTCTCCACTACTCTCATAAAGGACTTTCTCACAAAATTAATCGTCTAGTGAACATATTAGTACGCAGAAATACCTACCAGTTTGCTAAGTATTCCCTCCTACGGTGGCCCTGTGTCATCAGCTGATACGCGCTCTTCTACAATAATTGTACCACCCAACATGCCCGCACACGTCGCCTTGTTGATGTTCCGTTCATATAGCTACTTCCTCCTCTCCATACTTTTCCACTTTATAATGCAACTTTATAATCTTTTCCAACTGTTCTAAAATTTGATATAATTAAAAAATCTCTTTCCTATCTTTCTCTTCTTCTTCTCTCTTCCTGCCTTCCATTCCTTTCTTTTTCCTCTCATCTCTGAACACCGCAACCGTCATACTGACGAGGTCCAGTTGTGTTGTTGAGCTAAGACGTATATGACTTAATGGACCGAAATGTCTTAACTCTTACTCACTTATTTTTCCTACACCAGCTATATTTCTACATCTATACATACACAGTTCGTTCTATTGCTGCCCTATTTATGTTCTTAATATTACTCGTATGCTACAACCATGTAAGAATCAGCTTAGCCCGAGGTTCACATGGGTCCCCGGGTAGCCTAGGTATTGGCGTGGGGCCCGAGATACATTGTTCTGCCTTTTACGCAGCGTTGCATCAGGTGCTCCTGTGCTATCGCTCGCTCTGCGCCGTTGTTTTACCTGTAAAAATTAAGTTTTAGCACCCGTTTGCTGACGTCGCTGCACAAAATCTTCCCTAGAAGCAGCCAGATCAGGGCGGCACACACACACGGAACCGAGTTGGCCGTGGCCCAGGGCCCGCGTTGCTTGAATTCGTAATCCTCGGGGCCTGTACGGGTTATTTCAAAAGAGTTATGAGTCAACGAGTTACAGGCACAATGACAACGGTAACAATACCGGGATCGCTTGTGAACAAACGGAAGAAACATTTCCTGGGCATGCCGGCGCCCGCTGGCTATGTGGCGGGCGTGGGTCGTGGCGCCACCGGTTTTACCACACGTTCCGATATCGGTCCAGCACGGGACAGCACTGATTTGCCGGAACTGCCACCGGCCGGGCCAGTGAAGAAGGCGCGCGAGGACGACGATGATAAGAAGGAGGACAACGAGGATCTGAATGATTCGAATTATGATGAGGTGAGCTGTTGGCTTGTTTGTGAGAGAAGGGGGAGGAGGAGGGTGGGGAGGAGAAGGAGTAACCACTGTTACGTTGGCTGGCCAAAAATTCCAGGGAAAATGTGATGCATTAA